TCTTCCCCTCCTATCTTCTTCTTCTTCTTTTTTTTTCATAACATATATTGCATTATTTGTTTCAGAGGTACAGATCTGAGATTCAACAGTCTTGCACAATTCACAGCGCTTACCAGAGCACATACCCTCCCCAGTGCAGTATATTTTTAACTTATTTGCTTCCACTTTCTTTTCCAAATGCATTAATTTATTCAAATACTCATTTAAAGGGGCGCCTGGGTGGCTCAGTTGGTTAAGCGACTGCCTTCGGCTCAGGTCATGATCCTGGAGTCCCGGGATCGAGTCCCGCATCGGGCTCCCTGCTCGGCGGGGAGTCTGCTTCTCCCTCTGACCCTCCTCCCTCTCATGCTCTCTGTCTCTCATTCTCTCTCTCTCAAATAAATAAATAAAATCTTTAAAAACAAAAACAAAAACAAAAACAAATACTCATTTAAAGACAAACAACAAAAATGTTTCTATTGTGTGCCACCTACTACCCAATTTCCTCAACCTGCTTGTTGTTTTTAACATATTTGCTTGAAAAAAACTTTAAAGATGGCCTATGTCTACAAAATACACACATACCTCTTAACTTCACAGTGGGACATCAGGCTCTCACTTTTCCTTACTTAGTCTTTGTGAGGCTCTTCCAGGTCTACTTCCTGGCTAGCCACTGCCTAGGAATGTCTTATTTTTCAAAGCCAGAGAAACACCTTCTTTATGAATCTTTTCTCAATCTCTTAACAAAAATTAATTTCTCCTCCATTATGCTCAGTTAGAACATTTATCACATTGTATTTAAATTTATGAGTGTCCTGGCTCACAGAGGCATCAAGCCACCTTTTCATATTCTCTTTTGTATTCCTAGAGCCTAGCACATTGTCTGACACAGTAGATGACTAATTAATGTTTATGGATACTTTGGTAAATAAATACACAGATGACACCTCCTTTAAAATATGTGAAGCAAGATTCCTGGAGAAAATTAGATTTCAAACTTTCATCCCCTGAATAATTTCCCTTCCTACTAATAGAAAATGTGGCAGCCATACATATTTTGTCAAAGTAGGCTAAAGCCAGTGGTTAATGTAAAGTCTCCTTATAGGTGTGGCTCCCCTCCTACCCCAAGAACCTTACAAATCCTGGATAAGGCTGTTGTGGACGATTTGCATAGAGAAAAGGAGAATTTTCTGCTTTCTAAGTTTCTACCAGATTTCTTCCTGCCACCAGCATTCTGGAAGCTCTCTATCAGGAATTTCTATCTTGCAAAAAAACAAAGTTTTGGATACCAAGAGAATAAATAGTGTGAAACCTGGAATCCATTCTGCCAGGGATTCCAGCTGCCCAAACCAACACTTCTTGGGTGTCCATCAGAATTGCATTTGGGTGATTAAAAAAAAAAAAAAAAAAGACTCCTTTCAACCCTCAGCGAATAATTGAACTTTAGAAAATGATTGTGTTTTTATGCTTGGTCTGTGTTTCCTTCCCATTTCTGTATTTCAAACGCACAACAAGTTTGTTTGCTGACTTTTCTGATATACCACGTAAGGGAAGCTGTCTGTCAAAGGTTAGAAGAAAACAAAATCCTAGATTTACAAAACATAGCAATTCTTTTCTACTGCTTCCTTTCCCCCAAATTTCCTACCTGCCTCCAAACCAACATACAGTAAGTAAGCAGTTTGTTGTGATCCTCTCTGAACATAATTTCCTTGGGAAGGTAACAGGTTCTGAGGCCCAGTTAACTACATCCCGTCTAGGTCCCCTCCCTTTTGCCCTGTGCAACCTTCTCCAACTGCGCGCTGAGGTCCTTCTCCCAAAACTAAAGTAAGGATTGTCAGCAACCAGAGGTAAAGGATTAGCCTCAAATTCAGGAAAACAGGTGGGTTGCTCCTTAAAATGAGAAAAGCAAACTAAGAGGGGAAGCCTAAACGGGCTTCTGTCTTGAAAAAATCCTATTCCTGAATCTTCCCGATTTGGCGCGCCGGTCTCCAGGGACTGTGCATCCTCATTATAAGGAGCACGGTGGCCTCTCCTCTGCAGCAGCAGCAGCAGCAGCAGCAGCAACTAGAACCTTTCTTTTCACAACTCCCAGTCTCTAGTCCCTCTTTCAGTGAAGGGGACTCCTCACACAGCGCCACCGCCTTTGATTGACCCCCTTCCCCGCCGCACCATTTCTTTGCCAAGAAGGCCCTCTTCGCTTTCTAGGGAGAAAAGATGGCCACGGGATTTTAGAGACGCCGGTCTTCACATCCCCCTTCCTTTATCACCCAGGAAGGAGAGAAAACAGAGGACATTTAACACTGGTAACTATTATTATTTTATCCGAAGAACGTGCCCTCTAAAATGCCGCTAAATAAGTAAATTCACAGTTAATAGTTAAGGTGTAAACTGAAAGGGGGAAGAGAACGGGGGGGGGGGGGTAGGGGAAGTAAAAGAATGAGGGGAGATCCTCAATCTGTGTTTGATCCCGAGGTTCAAAGCCCCTGACTCCCAACCGGCACTAGTCTCCACCGCCTCCCAGGTCTCGGTGCGCCTTTTGGGAGCTGGAAGGAGGGGCGGAGACCTAGAGCGCGGATAGGAGGCCCAAAGGCAGCGAGGGCGGCTGCGTACCGGGAGCGCGCGGGGCAGGGTTGATCGCGCTCCCGACCGGGACTACAGGCTCGGCTTTCTCTTGGCCTTGCCTCTCATGGGCTGACATCATTGCCAGAAGGAGGGGCTGCCCAGGCGAAGGCGACTGGAGAAAAAGGTTCTTGGGCCTCGCTGGTGGAGGCTTTCCTTTACCTCTTGGCAGAAGCAGCACGGTGGCAGTGTGGCTGGACTCAGCCCTTGCGAGCTGCGCGAGGGTATTCTTAATTTAGCAGAGGGAGAAAGGTATCTTTAGACCTGAGCGCGTCTGTCTCTTGGTTCATTCATCAAAACCGCCCGCATATCGTCCGCCCTTCCTCGGATTAACCAGACAAAGGCAAGAAAGGGGGAAACATCTACAAATATTTTTACTTCTACTTGCTCTCACATGCCCATCCCACCCCCAAAATACGCAGGCTAAAGGACAGCCCTGAGGCTTAGATTTCCGGCCGTGATTGTGCGAGTTTGTTTCAAATAAGAGTGGAATTCTATTTAGTCTTTAGCAAGTTCAGAAGGTGCCCGCGAGTAACCTTTTCTTTTTTCCGAGTCACACCTGTTTTAACCTTTTATGGAAGGAGGAAGAGTCGCTTTAGTCCTAAAGCACAACTACCTTCTCAGATGTTGCGCTGTGTTCAGAATTCTCTGCACTATCCTCAGGTTGTTTCCTTGTTGCAGCACTTAAGAGTACGCAAGCACTCCTCCAAAACCATCGCCCCCTCCGCATATTTTCTACCCGCTTCCCGGCCTATCCCAATTTTTAAACACTTCCTTCCGCATACTTTCCTCAATACAAAAACAGCTCCTGTGCTAGGATTAAATGCCATCATGAGATATTTGCACACAAGGACTTGCTTTCGTTTTGTTCTCGCTATTTAATAATAAAATTAAATAAATATTCGTTTGTGCTAGCCACTCTCTTCTTAGGTCTTTGTTTTGTGGGTGTGCCGCAGTGGCGCAAGTTTCGATTCCCAGCCCCCAGCCAACGTTTTGGAAGGGCACCCCACTCGGAGAAGCGAGGACCCTCCTACAGATGCGTGTGCACGCTCATTCCATAAAGGCACCCGGGCGACCCCACCCCAAACCGCATGGCGGCCAAAGTGGTAAAACCTGGAATAATTCATATGGAAATGAAGAGGCCCTCTTCAGTTGAATTCTAAGTGTTTCCTTGGGGAGGAAAGGAAGTGGTTCCCGTTGTACACTCTTGGAAAGGGACCTCCCCGCTTTTTGGCAAGGAAAAGAAGTCAATTTGTGGCTAAGCGTTCATATGTAATTTCTATCTCCAACCGAGGGCAGCCTGCCTCTCTGCTTTTCTAAAGTCTCTAAAGAAAAGCACCCATTTGCGACTATGCGCTTTTAAAAAGTCACCTTTTCTGATGACGTCCTTATTGAGGCATTCATTTTCGAGAAAAAGGGCTGTTTTATGGCTACGCGCTTAAAAAAAATAATTCTTTTCTGGAGAGAACTGTTTTTAGGTTCTGTCTTAATAAACGCTATTCATTTATGGGCTAGGTGGGCGGTCTTGTTTTTGTTGCTGTTTTGTGACTTTTTTTGGCTAAGGGATTAAAAGTCATTTCTTTAGTGAGAGAGAGACCCTTTTACGTTCGGCTACGCTCTTAGAATAAGTCTTTTTTTTTTTTTTTTTTTTTTTTTAATGAGGAAAGTATATTTTTCAGTACGATTATAAGAAATTTCTTTTTTAAAGCTAGGCAGAATTTTCCACACCTACCACCTCCACATTCAGCAGATGCTGCTGGCTGAGCACAGCTCCATAAGTAGGGCGGGAAGGAAAGGCGGGGAGGCCAGCACCAGGCAGAACGGCCCGGGGAACCTGCGCGCTCCGTGGCGCGCTGCGCTCTCCTTCACTCTGTGCCAAGGGTCGGGCCCCCAAAGGTTAGAGCCAGCGTGGCTGGGATCCAAACCCCTAGCCCCCAGAGATACAAGCGCACAGCTCCCTCCGCTCTGCCAGGCTAGCCAGAGTCCCGGGTATGATCTTTTTTTCAGCATCTGCCCCAATCTTAGAGTTTCCCTCAGCCTGGCTGAAGCTGACTGTATCTGTTAAAGTGAAAGACCTTTTTGCAGGGCCAATGTCGGGGAAATTCATGAGTGGACACTTTTCTGACAGAAGTGAGAGTTTTCTCAAAGTAACCAAGCCAAGCCAAGCGGTGGCAGTGCCTAAAAGATATTCTATCTGCGCTCACCTGTGGGATTTGCTCTTTCTCTTACCTCCAGGGAACATATGGGGGAAGAGGAAAGGGAGGACACCAGAAGCGTCTCTAAAATCATTCTTGTCATAGTCAAGACCCCAGGAGTGGGCAGCGGGAAGCCTCCGCGTACTAAGTGCGGTACTCACGCCTCACTGGCCGCACTCTATTCTGGCACCCGGACCCGATACTTACCCAGTGAACGAAGCCTCTACAGCAGAATGAGATGGTAAGTAAAAAAGAGAAAAGGCTTTCGCTAGCTCCACCGAGACTGCAATTGCTGTAGCGCGCTCAACCGCCACAGCTCACAGTCCCTGAAGCAGCTGGAGTCGTGGAGGCTGCCTCTGAGGCTGTTCAGGACGCCGGGGCTGCCTGGGCGGCCTGTGTCGCCGCTGCTAATGTCACTCGGCGCATTCAGTTAGCTTGCTTTCTGCTTTGCCACGCGGGCCGCTGCGTGTAGCTCTGGCTCGAGCGGGCTCGCAGATCCTCCTACCCTGACGGTTCATCTACTGCATGGAGCCGGTGCCGAGCCAGCCCTTTTCAAAGGCGAGGGGGAGGGACTAGATAGAGGGGAAGAAGCGGGAAAGGAGGGGGGTTGAGTAACTGGAGGGCGGGGGTGAGGGGAGAAGTAAACCCGGGTCCGGGCCGCCTACTGGGAGGGGATGGCGCAGCAGCTACCTACAGCTGGGTAACCCCCTCTGGTCCCCACTGTCTGCATCCCACATCTCCCACCGCTCCGGGAGCGGCCCCTCCCGGCAGACAGGGAATCAGGGGAGAAGGGCGGGGGCGAGACGGCGGTAAGCTTAGGAAGTACTGTTTGCCGCCCCCTGAAGGCGGCAGAGTGTGTGCTGGTTGCTCGCTCCAGTGCGGACCCGCTGCTGGGGAAAACGCGCCGCTTTCGGGCTGCGGGTTTTGCAGAGTAAGAACTAGGGCATGCGTTGCTCCTCTCGGCCCTCCACTCGCTGCTGTCTTGGCTTCCTTTTAGGTTTAACTCATTCACATTATCTTGCAGAAATTTTATTTCATTTTTGTTATGTGTGTTTTTCTCCTGACCCCCCTGATGGCCTTGCTAGAGAACAAGCATTCAAAGCACCATTTTCTCATACAAAGGATACTTAAGACAAACTGGTGGAAGTAGGGGCAAGAGCAGTTGGAGCCAAGAGACTGGGTCTGCATATATCGTACTCAACTGTGAGCCAGGTCTGGTACCTAGCTTGCCTTTCAGATTGATGTCCGGGGGGTGGCAGAGAGAGGGACAAGAGGGAGATCAAGCATTTGGCTACCCCAGACAACAAGTACATAGGAGAGTAAGCAGGTCGGTGGCCTCGGGCTGCTTTAGTGAGGTGCAGCGCTTTGCTGCCTGGGACCCGGCAGTATTGCGGGTGTGGAGAACACCATTTCTAAGGTAGGAAAGGATGCAAGAGAGGGAGGAAGCCAGCCTTGAGCCCGCAAGACTGGTGCTTGCCAGAGCGCTCCAGCTGCCTGGTTAGTGACGCCAGGTCGGGCAAAGGCGTGCCAGGTTTCTCAAGAACACTAAAGCAAGGAGGGGCAGTGTGGCTGGTTTATGCCTCTGCTGGGTCGTGGGTATTAGAAACAGGGCTAATTTCCCCGTCCCAGTCATGGGATTAAAAGAGGAGCAACAACCAAAACCTTCCCAGCTGGTCTACTCTGATTTTTACTCCAAAGAGTGAGTCCTTAAATTTATCCAGAGGCCAGAGAATGAACCAGTAAATTCCTCTTCAGAAAGGTGTTGGGTTCTAGGGGGAAAAATCCATTTTCCATGTTTAACCAAGAGAAAGATTTATCTTTCTAGTGCTCTGTTTTGTCTTGAGGAGGAGACTTTCTTACCTGAAATAAAAAGAGTAAAAGTAGATAATGTTTTTGGGTGCCAAGAGCACATTATTCATTTTTATTTTTTGTCTATTGAATGAAAGAGGGAATGCATCTGCGTAGGGTAGAACATCAAGAAGGGGAAAAATGCTAATTATCATGAGTTGATTTTCTCTAATAGCTTCTTCATGGAAAATTTTTGGTGTTTGTTTTGGTTTTGCGCTTTTTTTAATCATTGAAGGGCAAATCTTTATGACTTCTTTCCCTAGTATGTTCATTCCCATCTTCATAACTGCCTTCTTTCCAATTTCTGATATTTTTTGAAGGTTAAAACCTTCATTCAAATAATCCTCATATCACTTTCCTTTTCCTTTTGCTATTTATTTATTTATTTATTTATTTTACATGTAAATCTACTATTGAGAGTTTCATTAGCACCACAGTTCAGTGTGATCTTCATGAGAGAGAACACATTGAAGTATTTACTATTACATTTTACTCCTCCTGTAACTCTGCCTTCATTATTCATAGTATTCAGCACATGCATTGTCCTCTTCTTGGAAACTAGGAAAATGTCTTTGAGATGAAATTAGAAGCTATCAAGTGGTTACAGTTCTGACTCTTAGGGTTTGCGCTTCTGGATAATACTCTGCCATAGAGGATGGCAGGAACTCAATGAAAATAAAATCACTGACTGATCCAGGACAGTCTGAAGACAGTGCCATGGAGGCACTCTCGGGGCACTAATAATCATTTATAACATCAACTTTATTTTTTTTTTCAACTTCCCTCATTTTTAAATTTTTATTACGATACCTTATTTAAAAAAATAAGTTAATAACAATTGTGAACATGGAATACTGAGACCATAGTTTTAAAATATAACATCCACTTTAGATACCAATTAACTGATTTCTTAAAATTTCCATCTAAATTCAATGCAGGAGGAGATAACTAATCAGTGATTGTTATGAAGCATTTAGTTATCATCCTGACAGACTCAAGAGGTTAATATTATTATCTACATTTTACAGTTCCTGAAACTGAAATTCATAGAAGACAGATAATTTGCACAAGACCATGGAGCTGAAGAGTAACAGACTCTGGATTTCCATTCAGAGTGTATAACTTTTTTTTTTTTAAGATTTTATTTATTTATTCATGAGAGACAGAGAGAGAGACAGAGGCAGAGGGAGAAGCAGGCTCCCCGTGGAGCAGGGAGCCCAATGCGGGACTCGATCCCAGGACCCTGGGATCATGACCTGAGCCGAAGGCAGACGCCCAACCGACTGAGCCACCCAGGCGTCCCCAGAGTGTATAACTTCTAAATTCAGCTACATGGTTGCTTTATAGTTAATCTGGATTATTCTATAATGTACAGCACAGCATTTAGTTTTAAGTGTGCAGTCCAATAGAAAATTATCTCTGTAGAGTAGAAACATTACTTACAGACCAAGGAGACTAACAGTTAAACTAAGTAAATCAGAAAATCATCTGAGAAATGCAGTTTGTTTATTAAAATGACAGAAATCCACATCTAAAAATAATGAAAATATTTCCCATTTTCTCTTCTCCTGTGTTCTGTCTGATGGTGGCATCAATGAGCAATGGCATAACCAAAAGCCAGGGCATGTGGCAAAAGCTCTCCTCCTGGTACTTTAACTCTAAAATGATTGATGGGGACTCAACTCTTTTTACATACAAAAAGAAGGAATCTTTGATTGAATGCTTTTTATGCACCATCAATATTATATACATTGTCTTATTAATCCTCAAAACCATTCTGTGAAATAGCTATTATTAGCTTCATTTTCTTTTTTTAACAAATAAGGAAACAGAGATTCACAGAGGCTAGATAAAATGCCCAAGGTTCTATAGATATAAAGTATAGAGAGTTGGGAAATTCAAACCCATGTCATATCCAGTCCATTATGCTGACTCTCAGCATATGGTCCTCCAGTTGTGTGGCTACACATTTTCAGAATTTGCTTTACATTAAAAACTATATAATTAACAAAAGCCCTTAAAAGTTAAAAGGATACTGTAGGAATTTGTTTTTTGGAGGAAATACCATGAAGGAGCGGTGACATTTATTGTATTTTGTTTGTTCAGTGTTCCAACTTGGAACTTGATCTGGGGTTCTGCTAAAATCAGAAAAGGGAAATTATGGTAATGTGTACCCTAGAAACATGGAAATCTGTCTAATTTGTGAAGATTAAACTATGAAGCCATTATATAATTATAGACTGGATCAGAGAAGAGATTTAAAATACTTCAATGAGTAAGGATGTTTCTCAGGCTGGTAAGAATTGATTAAAACTGAGAAATACTGTGTTAATGTGAAGAAGACCCAGCTGGTCTACTCTGATGTGTACTCCAAAGAGTGAGTCCTTAAATCAGCCATGGAAACCTAGTTAAAAGAGAGTCAGAGAGATGAAATTTGGTAGCTCCCATTCATGTTCATTTTCATCTCACTAGCAAAACCACCACTGATATGAGATTGATGAAGCAAATCAAATATTCTGAGATTTCAGTTGCCCTTGCATTGAATTACCCCTTATCAAGCAATGTGATTGTAATTTGACTTCCATGTATTCTGTTGCACAGAGAATGCACAAGCCATCCAGATAAATGAGAATGGTACTTTGTATCAAGTGATAGTTATTTTGCATAAAATCCCATTCATCTTTGTGTTGTCCACAACAACTTGCATTGAACTTTGCACATAAATGTTATAGTCTATGAATAATCATTGTTATTGAGAAAGTAGGTGGGCATGTGGCCATAAAACTGTAATACTGGATGAATTACATTCTGTATATTTTTTCATATTTAATTTTAACCATCTGCAACAATTGCAATTAGTAGGAGGCAGTGATGCCCAGTGGTTCATAAAAGAACTGTGATTTTAGACCAAATTTGAAGTTCTGGCTCTGGCATTTTTTAGCTCTGTGGCTGTGGGCAAATTAATCTCTGGACCTGTATTGTATAAGATAGACACTAGCCACATGAGACTATTGCGCACTTGCAATGTGACTAATCTAAACTGGGATGCACTGTAAGTATAAAATACATACCTTATTTTGAAGATTTAGTGCATGCACATATACACATATGTAAAATATATCATTAATATTTTATATAATTCTATGATTAAATGATAATAGTTTGACTAACTGGTTAAACATTATTAAAAATAATTTCACCTTTTTCTTTTCAATATTTTAAATGTAGCTGCTAGAAAGTTTTAAATTACATATGTGGCTTGAATTATATATGTTTTCCTTTTTGTAAGGTTTATTTGTTTTTTTGAGAGAGAGAGAGAGTGCATAGGGGAGAGGGGCAAAGGGAGAAAGAGAGAGAAACCTAAGCAGATTCCATGCTGAGTGCAGAGCCCAACACAAGGCTCAATCTCACAACTCTGAGATCATGATCTGAACAGAAACCAAGAGTCAGAGACTTAACTGACTGTGCCACCCAGGTGCCTATATACATATTTTTCAATGAGCTATCCTAAAAGCTTCAATTTCTTCCCCCCCAAAAATGCACATAATAACCTTATTTACCTCAAATTATTATAGTGATATTTAAATAAAATAATGCACCTAAAGTTCTTAGCACAGTATCTGACATTAAGCTAAAAAGTTGTCACTCTCTAAGAGTTCTGAAATACAGACGTTAAGTAAATTTTTTTAAAAAAGAAACTTAGGGGTGCCTTGGTGGTGCAGTCGGTTAAGCCTCCGACTCTTGGTTTTGGTTCAGGTCATGATCTCAAGGTTGTGATCTCAGGGTGATGAGATCAAGCCCCATATTGGGCTCCCTGCTCAGCGTGGAGTCTGCTTAAGACTTTCTCTCCCTCTACTCCTCCCTTCCTTTCTCTTTCTA